TGTTTGCGCTCTGATGTAAATGAACGGAGGCGAGTCGGTCTCGTTAATTGCCGACGGAAACGTATGGCTCGTCAGGATGATGTATCGCCATGGTTACGCCGCACAAATGTACTTTTTACTTCTCATTGTTTCGACATCACCGCGGCTAATGGATCAGTTAGCACCAGTCAAGCGGTTTGTAAGTTTGTTTGTTTTTTTAAATACTTGAATCAACTCCGGATCTGGGAAACATTTTTAAAAATCGTTCTCAAAAGTTTTGACTATTTACGCATTAATTTATGACATTTAAAAATCACATGACATTTCGCAAATTATTTTAAGTGCACCGATTATACAAAATCAACTTTTCAGAGCTTTTATAATTGTTTTCTCTCTAATTTATCCTCTCCAAGTTGTATTTACTGTGATTCACTTACCAACTTTTTAAAGAAATTAGACTTTGTTCAGAGTACTTTTCTAGCAGCTTACTTTTACTCCTACTTGAGTAATATTTTTTATGAAGTAACAGTGCTCTTTCCTGTCTCATTTTTGTATCCATCCCAAAAAAAACCCACCAGATTTTGTGCATTTTTTTTTTAATGTTTTGTCTTTAAATCACATGAACTTGAAATTATATCAAATGTTATATGACTTTTACTTGTGTACTAGTTTCCTTATATCTTACTTGAGTGATTTCTACTTGAGTAATATTATTTTGAAGTAACTTTACCGTTACTCAGTGTTGGGAAGGTGACTTTTAAAATGTATTCCCCTACAGATTACAGATTACACACCCCAAAATGTAGTTTGTAACGTAATCCATTAAATTACTTAAAGTGAGCAACATAATCTGAATACTTTGGATTACTTGATATTGTCATGCTTTTTAAAACTACCTGAATGTAGCGACCACATCCTGAAAATTCTTGTTTGTTTTCTTCAAATTCTCTGTTGAGCCCAAGTCTCCATCAATAAGCAGCTGTTTGCTGTAGAGAAGCAAAGACCAAGAAATCTTAACATAAGATGTTTTGTTTTGTCTGCTAAAAGAAAATAAAAAGCCCAGTCTTTACTTAAACCTATAAAAAATATTATTGATAGAGAAATTATTTCTATATGAGAAAACTACTGCTGCCTTAAAGTATGTCCACCCTACTGTTAGGTGTCATATTGTTTAGTCCTGGTTTAGTCCTGGTTTTAGACCTGGTTTTAGACCTAGTTTAGTCTTAGTTTAGTCCTGCTTTAGTCCTGCTTTTAGACCTAGTTTAGTCCTGCTTTTAGACCTAGTTTAGTCCTGGTTTTAGTCCTGGTTTTAGTCCTGCCTGCTTTAGTCCTGCTTTTAATCACCCTCATCATCACTTTGAAATCTATAAAAGTCACTTTCTCTAAACTTATCCATAAAATATGTCCGCTCCTCATTATTTCTAAAACCGTGCGCCGCAGTGCCGCGATCTTTCCATTGCACGAGTTTCGTGTTGTGTTTTTTCCGGAAGCTACAATCGTCACTACTTCGATTAACTTCGGAAAAAATCTGCGAAAACATATCCTTGAATCCTAATGGTCAGTCTAGTGTGGGTTGTAGTGGCCCCCACCGATCACAGTCTCTGTTTAAATGTGAAAAAGGTCGTCAAATCACGTCTTTAGTGATACAGCGGAGGTGTCAAAAGTCGTCATTAAGGAAACAGGGAGGGTCGTCAAATGTCGTCTTCATGGGGGAAAGAGTTAAAGAACATTTACAACAGTCCTGCATTTTGGATCCTCCCTCTGATCCAAAAGATTCAGATCCCGGCTGCGCGACTCGCTGTTGTGACGTCGTTTACAGTTTTTTAACGCGGTCGTCAGCGGATTTGTTTCTTTTATTAAGCCGTTTTAGATCAATATTATGATTTAAAATGTCCAAATTATAACCTAATGATCCCCGGGCGTCACAGATTATCACTATAAAGCCGATACGGGCAAATTAGGTCTACTTTAAAGCACAATTTGCCATTTTGTTGAAATAAATCCTAATTTCAGAGACTGCATTTGAGCCCGTAACCCAGAATGCATCAGGACTAATGCACCTTCAATCCTCAATATTCAGATAAGTACATGTATTTAATGCTTTATATAACCTGATATACTGTGCATTATCCTCAGCACACAGGAAATATTTCAGTGCCAGTCATTTCGTGCTTAAGAGCTCTTCTAACTTAGAACATTACCAGATGGCCTACAGACTTTCTTTCTTCACTCTTTAATGGGAGATATATGGTTTCATTTTACAGTTGTTGGGTCTGCGAGGAAGAAAAATGTTTGGCATCTGTTCCCTGCTGCTGGTATTATGAACTCTCTACTTGTGTCATTTTCAACTTTTCTTCGCAAATTGCTTCCTGATTGGTGTAAAACTATACTTTAGATATTATCCCAGCGGATTAAGTAGGAATTAGAGAATCATCGAAACCTGTCAAATACACTTTAAATGCAAAATGTTCAGAAAAGGTTAAGGTTACACTTTAATGCAGCGATCCCCAACCTTTGTTTGCGCCACAGACTGGTCCACGCGACATAGTTAAGTCCTGGATAAATACTGTTTTAGACCTGGTTTTAGACCTGGTGTAGTTCCGGTTTAGTTCCGGTGTAGTTCCGGTTTAGTTTCGGTGTAGTTCTGGTGTAGTTCTGGCTTAGTTCCGGTTTAGTTTCGGTGTAGTTCTGGTGTAGTTCTGGCTTAGTTCTGGTGTAGTTCTGGTGTAGTTCTGGTTTAGTTCTTGTTTAGTTCTGGGTTAGTTCTGGTGTAGTTCTGGTGTAGTTCTGGTTTAGTTCTTGTTTAGTTCTGGTGTAGTTCTGGTTTAGTTCTGGTGTAGTTCTGGTGTAGTTCTGGGTTAGTTCTGGTTTAGTTCTGGTGTAGTTCTGGTTTAGTTCTGGTGTTTAGTTCTGGTTAGTTCTGGTTTAGTTCTGGTGTAGTTCTGGGTTAGTTCTGGTGTAGTTCTGGTGTAGTTCTGGTTTAGTTCTGGTTTAGTTCTGGTTTAGTTCTGGTGTAGTTCTGGTTCTGGTGTAGTTCTGGGTTAGTTCTGGTGTAGTTCTGGGTTAGTTCTGGTGTAGTTCTGGTTAGTTCTGGTGTAGTTCTGGTGTAGTTCTGGTGTAGTTCTGGTGTAGTTCTGGGTTAGTTCTGGTTTAGTTCTGGTGTAGTTCTGGGTTAGTTCTGGTGTAGTTCTGGTTAGTTCTGGTTTAGTTCTGGTGTAGTTCTGGTTTAGTTCTGGTGTAGTTCTGGTTTAGTTAGTTCTGGTGTAGTTCTGGTTTAGTTCTTGTTTAGTTCTGGTGTAGTTCTGGTTTAGTTCTGGTGTAGTTCTGGTGTAGTTCTGGGTTAGTTCTGGTGTAAGTTCTGGTTTAGTTCTGGGGTAGTTCTGGTTTAGTTCTGGTTTAGTTCTGGTTTAGTTCTTGTTTAGTTCTGGTGTAGTTCTGGTGTAGTTCTGGGTTAGTTCTGGTGTAGTTCTGGTTAGTTAGTTCTGGTGTAGTTCTGGTGTTAGTTCTGGTGTAGTTCTGGTTAGTTCTGGTGTAGTTCTGGGTTAGTTCTGGTGTAGTTCTGGAGTTCTGGTTCTAGTTCTGGTGTTAGTTCTGGTTAGTTCTGGTGTAGTTCTGGTTTAGTTCTGGTGTAGTTCTGGGTTAGTTCTGGTGTAGTTCTGGGTTAGTTCTGGTGTAGTTCTGGTTTAGTTCTGGTGTAGTTCTGGTTTAGTTCTGGTGTAGTTCTGGGTTAGTTCTGGTGTAGTTCTGGTGTAGTTCTGGTTAGTTCTGGTGTTTAGTTCTGGGTTAGTTCTGGTTTAGTTCTGGTGTAGTTCTGGTGTAGTTCTGGTTAGTTCTGGTTAGTTCTGGTGTAGTTCTGGTGTAGTTCTTGTTTAGTTCTGGGTTAGTTCTGGTTTAGTTCTGGTGTAGTTCTGGTAGTTCTGGTTTAGTTCTGGTGTTAGTTCTAGTTCTGGTGTAGTTCTGGTGTAGTTCTGGTTAGTTCTGGTGTAGTTCTGGTTAGTTCTGGTTAGTTCTGGGTTAGTTCTGGTTTAGTGGCGCAGCCCACACGGCGTACGGGAAGAGGGGTTCGGACTTTCGCGGCCCGGTACCAAATGACCCACGGCCTGGTACCGGTCCCTGGCCCGGGGTTTGGGAACCCCTGCTTTAAAGGCAAACTTTTCCGCTGGTTTTGACCGTTCCCTCAGTGCCTAATGACCCATCTCCAGATCTTCAGCTAGTCTTGGTCAGGACTACTGTAGCTGGAGGATTTGACCGACAACGCAAACTCCGCACAGAAAGACCCGGGGATTGAACCTGAAACCTTCTTGCTGCAGGGCATGAGTGCTGCCATGGAGAATATAGGAGTGGGCCGAGTAAAAACGACTACTGAAATCTTTGTGAATGAGAAAAAATACAAGTCTTAATATGTCTTGATTCAATGAGGTTCATTTGGTCTTCCGATAATTTATGTTATTAGGTTCTTTTTTCAGACCAAGAGTTTGTTTTTCTATTGCTCCCTGTGCTCTTCCTCAGAGTCACGTGATGTTGCTGTGACGTGTCCGCTCGGCTAATTTACACAAGTTTTGGCGCCGTCTTCCTACCGGAGGAGGCAGGACGACAGCGCCATCTGCAGTCCAACTTCCTCAGGACAGTATCCCAGGTGTGTGAGAGTAAAAAAAAAGCCCCCTTTTTTTATAGTCTCATGTGCACTTGAAACGAATGCGAAACGAACAGAGTGCGGCCTTGTGTATCATGTGATCACTTTGACCAATCAGAGCGAGAGAAGCTAAAGTGGAGCTGGAGCTAAAGCTGTTCAAGACTATTTTGAGCTGAGAAAAAGTTTATGATCTAAAAATAGGTAAAAATCCACAAAATCCAACATTTTTGAAAGTTGTAGGTCCCTGTTACTTTGGGCTCTATGAGAAAAATCTTGTCTCAGCCCAGTTTTTTTTTTTTTTTTTTGCTGAAGTACCAGTGGGTGTCACTACATCAACTGGAGGCAGCAACACTCTATCCAGTTATTTGAATAGCTCCATGGATCTGAC